GGATCTGGGGTCCCCTTCGCCTAACGGTTGGTGCAAACTGTGGTTCATGCTGAGCGCCTGCTTCCCTCCTGGAGCCTGAACGTTCACACGCACCAGCGTGCAGCACGACCAGTCCTTACGATGGCCCTGGGCGCTGAGTTTCTAAGGGCTCCCTGCCTGGCAGCATTTCACCGTCCTCACTGGCTGCTGGGGAGGACCCTACCCCAGGCGCCTTTCCCTGCGCTGACTGTGTTTCACGTCCTTTCTCTGTGACAATCAGTCCCGGGTGAGTTCTTCCAGTGAACCTGGCTGAGGGTGGACTTAGGGATTCTGGACATGCCGTGCATCTAAAGAAAGCCTGTAAGATGAAATGTGGAAATCAAAGCAAACGCGCATAATATAAAAAAGCAACTTGGAAGGAACGGAGGATATGGAGAAGAAGGAAAGAAACCCCTAGCATGAACATCCTCAGATAGGAGAGAGAAAGTGTTACAGAAACGAGGATGCCAAGACAAAGGACACAGCAGACAAAGGGAGCTCACAGAAATTAAAAGTTTAACAGCAAAAATAAAAAATCCAATATGATGTTGGAAAACAACAATGAGGAAATCTTCCAGAAAATACAGCAAAAAGACCAAGAGATGGGAGAAAGAAAGAAAGTGAGATTAGAAAACAAAGGGACCCTTGGGGACATGGCAGGCACAGGACGGGGGCTCCGGGAGAAGGCAGGAGGGTGGGGAGGAGCCCCAGGACAGCAGCTCCAGCCAGAGCAGACAGGACGTGCTGGGGGAGGTTTCCCGGGATGGGCTGGTGCTGAAGTCAGGTGTGTCTGAGCGTGCTCAGCTGAGTCAGAAACTGGCAGGGAGCATGGTGCTGAACCAAGGGTAAGCATCTAAAAACTAAGCAAACAAAAAAAGACAACGGTTAACTCCACAAAGGTGTGCAGAAGAGGAAAAGCCAGTGCAGAGCCCGGAGACCCGGCTGTGAACCTGAGTGATCACCTGTAACAGGGACCCACAAACTTGCCACACAGACTCCCTGGCGAGAACGGGGCAGGGCTGCAGGGACAGCCAGCGGGGGTCTGGGGACTGAGGGAGCCAAACCGCCCTCAGACACATGAGAAGCCGACTGACAGCAGCATGAAGATGTAGCGATAAACCCATGCTATTAATAAACATGGAGTGAAATACTAAAAGAATCAATTAAGAGAGTTGAACCTGGTTACTTCTGAGGAGCAGGAAATGGAGGTCAGATGGGTGGGAACTGCTGCCCGTGTAGTATCTCCCAAACTGACAGACTGAGGAGAAAAAAGGGCCACAGAGAACCTGAGTAATAGGGTCAGGAAGTCTGATTTTAAACATGTGCAGTCGTGGGTCGCTCAAACACAGGGACACGCTCTGAGAAATGCCCCGCTAGGAGATTTCTGTCGTCGTGTGAACACCACAGAAGCACTTACACAAACTTAGCCGGCAGCCTACTGTGCACCTGGGCTGTGTGGTGCAGCCTCTTGCTCCTGGGCTGCACGACCGCACAGCCCGTTACTATGCTGAATGCTGTGGGCGGCTGTCACACAATGCGAAGTATCTGTGTATCTAAACATACCTAAACACAGAAAAGGTACAGTTAAAATACGGTCTAAAAGATAAAAAACGTTGGCTGGGCACAGCAGCTCACGCCTGTAATCCCAGCACTCTGGGAGGCCGAGGAGGAAGGATGGCTTGAGCTCAGGAGTTTGAGACCAGCCTGAGCAAGAGCGAGACCCCATCTCCACTAAAAATAGAAAAATCAGCTGGGGGTGGTGGTGGCATCTGCAGTCCCAGCCACTCGGGAGGCTGAGGCAGGAGTTTGAAGCTGCAGTGAGTGATGAAGACGGCACCGCACTCTGCACAGGGCACTTGCCACGAGCGGAGCTCGCAGGACTGAAGCTGCGCGGGGGGTGAGGGGCGGCAAGTGCGAGTGAAGCCTGGGACGTGACCGTGCACTCTGCAGCCTTTACAGACACTGCACTCAGGCCACACTAAGTTCATTTTTAAAAAGCAACTGTGCTGTGACATTATGACTACAGTCACTAGGTGACAGGGACTTTTCAGCTCCATCAGAATCTTATGGGATCGCTGTCACACATGCGGTCCGTTGCTGATGGAAGTGTCTGTGCTGTGCACGACTGGGCCCAACAGGAAAGACACGTTTTCCCCACACTCACTGGAAAGGTTAGAAACACTGACTTCGTATTTGGCTTCAAAGAAAGTCCCGAGAAATTCGCCAAATGCTGCAATGACAGGGCCACGTCCCTTGAGCCCTGATCAAACCCAGCAGGACAGACAGACTCTCCGGGAGCCAGGCCATCTCCTCCCTTCTCCTCCTGGCCTCTAGTTCTCTGCGTCCTGTGTGCGCTTTCTCCATCTGTGGCTCTGCCCACATCAGCCCAAGGGAGACCTACTCTCCGGCGTCCGCTTTGGCGGGAGGAGCTACCCTGCACAGAGCCTTCTGCGTGGCTCTGTACCTGGCTCCCACCACCCCCCGCCCGCCTCCTCCCTCCTTCTGTGGGAAGAGGAGGCGTTTTTTTTGTGTAATTAATAAAACCCAAAGGCAGTTCTCTAGCAAAAATAAACAAAATCCAAGTAAACTCCTAGTAAAATAGGTAACCTTTGGCAAGTACGACCAGGAAAAAGAGAAAACACAGACACAAACGTCAGTTAGATAAAGGTGACGTGGAATGGCAGATGGAGAAAACAACGTACCGCGTCTTCCAAAAATTCTGAAATCTAACGGAACTGACACTCCTCCTAGGAAACAGAATTTGCAGATGAAGCAAGGTAGGAAACCTGGAGAGATGAACTGCCACAGAGGGAGTCGGAGCGCTGTGGAAATCGGGGTCCCACCACCCCTCAACTGCAAGGGCCAGGCACTTTCCCAGGAGGCCGACCAGTAACAGATGATTCCCATGGGAATTTTGTCAGCGAACGGAAAAAGCTAAAAAGCTCTCAGCTCAGTCTATGAATAACTCTGATACTAAAGGGGATAATGATATTTAAGAAAAATTATTTAATATATCATAACAAGTGTGAGTTATCCCCAAAAAGCAAACATGACCCAACATTTAGAAGATATTAATGTAATTTACTGCATTAACAGCTTCAAGTGGAAAAACCACAGATTCCTCTCAAAGATGCTGCAAAAGCATTTGACGAAATTCAAAACCCACTCCTGGATATGATTCCTGGTATACCAGAAGCTGAATCTTGACTGAAAAACTCTTATCTATAGTGAGGAACCTACGGCGAGCATCTCGTGAGTGATGAAACAGAAATACTCCCACTGGAGTCGGGGGTGAGGGTGCAGCTGCTGTATCTGTGCTGGGCCGGAGATCCCGCTGTCAGAGTGCACAACTCACCAGAGTGGCCCAGGTTAACACAAACATCAGAAATCCTAAGTTTCCCCACAATTATCAGTAGTCAATTGAAGATGAAATGGAAAAAATATTCTACTTATATAACAGCAAAAACTAAAGCACTTTTCACCCCAATATGAAGTGTGCAAGACCTGTATGATTAAAATGAGATACAAAAGCTTTACTGAAATACACGAAGTGAGACCTGCCATCACTGCAGGGTACCGCCATGCTGCTGTGTGTTGCTACCCATGGAAAAATGTCAGTTATTCCCAAATTTCATTCACCTATTCAATGGAGACCTGACATAAATTCTGTGGCCTTCAGGAGCTCATTCGAAAGCTCATTTGGAAGAGACAATGCTGTAATCCTAGCACTCTGGGAGGCTGAGGCAGGAGGATTGCGGGAGCCCAGGAGGTAGAGGCTGCAGCGATCTGTGATGATGTCATTGCACTGTAGCCCGAGCAACAGAGTGGGACCCTGGCTCCAAAAAAAAAAAAGAAAGAAAGAAAATGCGTAAGAATAACCAAGAAAATCTGGAGGAAAAAATACGGGGAACTCTCCTCCAAATGTTAAAATGTAAACCCGTGACGGTTAAAAACGTGTTATGGTGAAGAAGTGGACAAGCAACAAAAAATAAAAACCGACCCTATGTTTACGTGGACGCCTGACACCCAAATCTGCGGGGTTGGTGGAATCCATGACCTGGGAAAAGCTAGAACCGCGCGCTGCCTCACACAAGAAACAAATCTGAGGGAGATTAAAGGTCCGAATGTAAAAAGGAAAGCTGTCAGAGCACAGGAAAGGGGAAGACTGTTTTTATCATCAGGAAACTCCTTCCTGAGCAAGAACTCAAGTCCGGACACTATGAAGGAAACGCTTTAGAGGCGACTATAGAAAAGCTCAGCACCCGCTGGGCTGACCGCCACACCCACGCCACACCCATGCCACAGACCCGGGAGATGCTTGTTACAAAGGCAGCAGGAAACAGATGAACCCACAGCCTATAAAAAGCTCCTACAAATCCGTAATAAAATGACAACCCACAGAAAAACAGGCACAGACTGAAGATCGAGTACACAGAATAAGAAGGACAAATGGCCACTGGGCACGGAATGAGTCCCTCACCCCTAAGCTAGAGTCAAAACACGAACGAGAAACTCTCTTTTATGTATCAGATTTTAAAGGATCAGAAAGTCCGAAAATACACCATGTGGATAAGGAGTGGGGAACCAGCGACTCTCACGCGATATCTGGTGGGAATATAATTGTCACGAAAAGCAGTTTAACAATATCTATCGAAATTTAAAACGTACCTCCCCTTTGATCCAGCAATTGAACTGTGAGAAATTCACACAACAGACATGGATATATCTGCGTAAGTGGACAACACAAGCGTAAAAGGACGTTTGTGAAAAACAATAACCTGAAAACAACCTAACTGCCCCAGCCAAGGAGCAGGTAATTAAATCATGGCACAGGCAGCCCCGGATGGTGTGAGAAGGGTACAAGCTCCAGACAGGGAAGACAGGCCTCCAAGACGAGGAAGTGAGGCAAAAGCCAGTCCAGGAAGACCACCGTGCACGCAGACGAAACCGCGTTGGGAGCGGCGGCCGGGCGGTGGGCTCACCTGCTCCACGTGGGGCTCCTTGGCAAAGGAGATCCTGGCGATGGAGTGGGACGCGATGCACAGCTCCTGCCCGTTGACTTCGCCCTCCTCCACTTCCACGATGCCTGCAGGGAAGGGTGGGCGCCTCAGCCAGCTGCAGGCTCCAGCCAAGGCAGCCGTCACCACCTCTCCCGCCCATGAGTGTGCAGGAGACCTGACCTTTGCAGCCATCCCGGCTACTATGATTCTTCCCACCTGTACCTCATCTTGTGGATATCGAGGGAAGATGCGACTTCCTACAGCACGGAGGCAGGTGCTCTACACAGGGTCACCCTCTCCATAGCTGCCCTGGACCCCGGCCCTCCCACCCCACCCGTCAGTGTGGGGAGCTCTGCCCCAGGGAGGAGCCCCAGCAGAGGCCCCAGCCCCTAGAAGACAAGGTGGGTGGACATCCAGGAAGCGAGGCCTGTTTGGGTGAGTGGGCAGGGCCAAGGTCACAGGCTGTTTCTGAGCCATTTCTAATGAACGTGGCTGATGACCACTTCAGCACCACCCCACACAGGGAAAACCGACCCACAGCCTGCCCAGCGGCACCTGCAGGGGCACAGACAGGCCTCACCTACCACTCCCAGAGGTGCTGTGGAGCCGGTCCCCAGCGTCCCCACTGAGCCGACCAGCACGTGGCACAAGGAGGGACACACCTGAGAGGTCACCCAAGCCGACCTACTTAGGGTGCAGAAGGCCCCTCCCTGCTGCCACTCCCCCGCCCCTGCACACCCCGGGCCTCACCTGTGTTCTGGGCGCTGACGAAGGCCACCTTGTTGGTGTCAGGCTCGAGGCGGATGAAGCCACACTCTCTGTGCATGGGTTTGCGTGTGTCCGGGTGGAAGGAGTTGAACCTGGGTGGGAAGTAGGGACATGGGGCCAGGGCACCTGCCCACTGGACGTGACTGCCAGGGGCAGGGGCGCAGCTGGGCCAGGACCGTCCACCCTGCGCTTGAGGCCCGCAGCTTCCGCCTGCCAGACCCTTACACTTGCCCACTCATTTTGGCAGTGTCTGTCCTTCCGGCTGACCATCAACTCTTGAAGACAGAAACTTTTCCTTCATAATCTCGGGGTATACCCTTTCCCCCTGGTCCTAAGCACTCTGTAAACGCTAGAGACAATGACAGTAAAACCCCACTCTAATGCGACTTTCCTCTTGAGCTATGTTCTTGGTAAGAGTCCAATTAATGCATATGGTAACAAACAGAACAGGTATAATTTCTTACCAACCTTCACTGCCAGTGCAGATTCACGAAGGCTAGTAGGAGATACCCGCATCTTGAACTGACAGCACAAACCCACAACTTAAAGGCTAACTCACTTACCAATTTCACGGGCATCCTGCATTGCTTTGGGAATCTGTGCCTACCATTCTTAGAGACAAACTTCCGGCAGGTTAGTGCTGGTGCTACACCTTACGTAAGTGGCACATGCTGGCTTCTAACCCCCCAAAAGGAACTCTGCAGCATAACCTAGCATACACGCAAACACGTAAGCCATTACATTTATCAAGATATCTTTTCTACCCTATCCTTTAATTCTTCTTTTAACTCGAGTCACAAAATTGACTTTCTGATCCTCTAACGGGTCATAATCCATGGTTTTAAAAAGACGGCTTTATACTGCTCTGGGTTATTCTGCACTGTCCAGTTTCTCCCTTTAGGTTTACGCGCAGAGACATTGCTTTGCCCTCATGCATTCAGTCAAGAATAATACAAAAAGGTATGAGGAAACACTTTTAAAAAATAATGAGGTCTTCTACATCTTTCTGAAATTGCTAGGCATTATACAAATAGGGCCATGTCAATCTAGAAAGATTCTTAACATAGAATTGTACAGTGGGGATTGGGGAAGGAAGAGTTTTGCTTTTTATTTTATATACTTCTTTACTGTTTAAACTTTTAAAGTGTGTAATTAAAAAATAAAGCTATCCCAAGCACTTCCCCCGTCCCGGGGGGCCCTCCACTTCAGATACCCCACGCTGCTGCCACCTTAAAAGCAGCACTATTTCCCCGCTGCGTGGGGTGGGGTGCGGTGGGGGGAGACGGGGACCTCCAAGGACGTTTGCTAAGGATCTGAGAACCACAGCACTAGTGGCTTCCTTAAGACCTCAAATAGCTCAGGGTAAGTGTAAAAGAAAGCCATGCTCTCTTATTTTCAGGATACTAGGGTGATTAATTTTCATCAAGAATTAAGTGCATACACTTATTTTTACGCTTGGATTAATAAAGCTGTAACTTTGTGGTCAGCCTAACATCTTCAAAAACAGAAGCCACCTCCTCAGTCCCCCAGGAGGAACCTGCCCTGGCACAGATGGTACCATTTTCACCAACTACGTCTCAGTGGCCAGGCTCAGGCAAGGAAGAGCGTGCCTTTCTGAAATAGATCCGCAAGTTCCTTTGCACCTTCTCACCTGGCATTGGTCTTTGATCAGTCTGGAATTATTTTCAGAGACCTGGGGGTGGGGGACAAGGACTTACGAAAAGTTCAGCATGGGCTGGCCCACGTGGGAGATGTGCACCTCCTCCAGGTACTGGAAGGGCTGCAGTGTTGGGAAGGTTCCGGCTCCTGGTGGGTCCGACAGCCAGGTGCCCAGCATCCAGGACAGCGGCTCCACCACCGGGTTCATCTTGGGAGGCTCTGAGGACAAAGGACGAGACAGTCAGCGGCCTCCTCCCAACGTGCCTCGCTGAGCTTCGCGTGGAAACACACGGCCCATTCCAGAGCATGCTTTCCGTGGTGACTGGTAAGCCTGTGGGACCAGTCGAGAAGGGCAGAAAAAGGCCAAGCACCAGTGAGTGTCATACTGCAAGGTCCCTCTCCGGAAGCCTCTGCAGTTCCTACAGAGAGCCAGGAAGGCCTGGCCCTCCAACAGGGCCTGGGAGCAGCGCACATAGCCAGTCAGTGCCCTGGCACAGGGACTTAGCGATGACCATAAGGAGGTAGAGGGAGAAAATGAAAAGGGGACAGAGGGTCTCCCGGCAGGTGAAATGTGGACAGCACACAGGGTGGGCGGATGTGCCTGGGGACTGCTGACCCAGACTCTGGGAGCAGGGACCTGGGCAGCACAGCAGCCTGTGCAGGGCCCAGTGGGCCCCTGGAGACAGTCACCCGCCGGCCCGGCTCTCTCATCCCACCGAGGGTGAAGGATGACAGCGCGGGCCTGGGTGCTCCCGAGGAGGGTACAGGATTAGCTCACGCGACCCTCACGCCAGCTGCATGAAGTGGGTGCTGCTCTATCCACGTTCTGGAGAAGGAGCCACCGGGTGGGACCATGGGAAAGCCCCACTGCACAGCGCCCTCAAGGGCAGGTAAAAGGAGGTGGAAACTCTTCTGGCCACAACCTGCTTCCCACATACCTTCTTATACCTCAAGTCTAGGTGCTTTAATCGAAAGAATAAAAACTTTAATCGAAAGAATAAAAAAAGATACTAAGGAATAGCAGAAGTGGAGAGAAGTACACGCCCACTGCCTGTGCATGAGCCTAATCTACTGAGCTGTACTTTTTGTATTTTGTTGGAGTCTTGCTTTGTGACCTGGGCTGGGGTGCAATGGTGTGACTATAGCTCACAGCAGCTTCAAACTCCTGGGCTCAAGTGATCCTCCTGTCTCGGCCTCCCAAGTAGCTGGGACGGTAGGTGCCACCCTCACGCCGGGCTAATTTTTCTATTTTTTGTAGAGATGGGGTCTCGCTCTTGCTCAGGCTGGTCTCCAATGATCTTCCCACCTCGGCCTCCCACAGTGCTGGAATTACAGGTAGGAACCGCAGTGCCTGGCCCTGAATGGTATGTTTGATTTAGCAAACCGACACTGTGAAAGCAAAGAGAACTGGCTGGGCGTGGTGGCTCACACCTGTAATCCTAGCACTCTGGGAGGCCGACGTGGGCGGATCGTTTGAGCTCAGGAGTTCGAGACCAACCTGAGCAACAGTGAGACCCTATCTCCACTAAAAATAGAAAGAAATTAGCTGGACAACTAAAAATATAGAAAAAATTAGCGAGGCATGGTGGCGCATGCCTGTAGTCCCAGCTACTTGGGAGACTGAGGCAGGAGGATTGCTTAAGCCCAGGAGTTTGAGGTTGCTGTGAGCTAGGCTGACGCCACAGCACTATAGCCCAGGCAACAGAGTGAGATTCTGTCTCAAAAAAAAAAAAAGAAAGAAAGCAAAGAGACCTGCTTCCACATCAGGACTGCAAATGTTTCCTCCAGCCTGGAGTGAAGAGAAGACATACCGAGGGGGATAGGAGCTCCTAGAACCATCTCAGCCTCTGAAACCACATGATCCTATAACTTGTAAGCAGTCTGGGAAAAGAACATCCAGGAAGAAAGGCAGGCAAAGGGCCCGGAGGTGGAGGAGACCAAGTCTGAGGACCACCGCGCGCTGAGGAGGGCCACGCACGTAGCCTGGCCCAGCAGATTCAGGGCCCACGTGAGGGCAGTGTGTGGAGGCCCAGGAGTTGGACCCCCTCTGCCTGCCAGGCT